AAAACGTCTTCAAACTTTGAAACAAAGTCCAGTGGCTTGTGTTTTTTTTTTTTTCTGAAATATTGTCAACAATTCTCCTAATTTGGACATCTTGAGATGAAAGGAATATAGCTTACATGTCGTCAAAGAAACTCCTCCTTAGATTTTTAAGTCAAGTGCTGAACTGTGTCATTCAAGCAGTTTAGGTTTTCTTTCTTTTTCTGAAACTATTTAAGATTTACTTATTGCTAAGTTTTCATGACTTTAGTTTGGAAATATTACCTTTGTTTTTATATTTAAAATTTTAACAAAATATCCCATAATATTTCTCATTTATACAATACCATATTCAATAGGATATGCTGAACTAACTTTTGCATGCTGCATTAGATACTTGTGATGAACAAATCTACCTTCAAACAAAATTCCTTTGAGAGCAGACTATGGTCTCAGTATTTCACATGCATGCTCAAGTTTTCTGCACCAAACTTAAAGGAAAAGTCCGGTCATATTCAGAATTCAAACTTCGGAAAGTACTTTAAATATGAAATTATTACATTTTTCCCCCTTTATTTAACCTTTATTTAAATGATAAGTCTTTTAAATTAAGAGTAATTTCAAATGAATGTGCTTTACCAGTGAAATCCATGTTTGTCAAAGAGCACTACTGCCACCTACAGTACCAGTTTGTGACGTCACAGTGCGGTATCAGCTCTTTAAGTTGGCAATCAAACGACGAATTTGATTGCAGACGTTTCTAGTAGTTCCCACTAATTTTGCCTGTAAAGTGGGGAGAATGGAGCTAGGCTTACCGCACAGTGACGTCACTGCTGGAAGATGTCAGGAGTGAGGTGTTACTTACTATATTTGAGCATAACTGGCCGGTCCCAGACTCAGTGATCACAACGAAAATTATTATTTTTTTACTGATTAACGCCAAATTCATTAAATAACATTGAACGCATTAGTTTTAGGTATAAATAATGATCCATTGATCATTCCTTGCTGACGACGTTTCCTTTAAAATAACCTTAAGCACAATTTTTTATTATTTTTTTTACAGTGTTGGAGTCTTGTGTAGTGAGAGTTCTTAAAGGCCATTGGAGTGGATTGCTCGTTGTTTGGTTTTTATCAGGTCACTCTGCAAGTTCTGCTTTTCTTTTGAACAACTATTTGAAACCTTGAGAGAGGAATTTATCGCTTTCTGGTTAGTGATGAAATAATATTCTTTTGGCTTTTAAATGATGGATCAACCTGTCCTTATTTGAACATTTTAAGTCATACGCTGTATGGCAATTCTTTTTTGTAATGGTAAGACACTTTTTTAAAGGTCTGTTTGCCTTTACCACACCATACAATATAGTACATGGTAATGAGAAACATTGTTGTAAGCTATCAATTATTAAAAAAAGCTGATGTGGCACATAGCAGCAGGAACACTTTTCAAATTCTAACAAATTTTAAGTTTACGTTTTTCTGGCTTTGGAACATCCCTTTTTTCATGTGTTCAATACTTCCCCCAGTGGGATTCCATCTTTCTACCAACAACTTCCTTAGTGGATTTACATGCATTGATTTTTTTTTCTATCTGTGGATTGTTGCCAATACTGGATACAAATTTTACATAAATGGCGCAATGTCAATTTCAACCCTTTACATATTGGCTGATCAAACTTCTTTTAGATTGTTAGATTGGTTAGAAATGTCTTCAGTCACAGTATGCAGTTCTTATAAACTGCACACTGTGATTATATTCACAAGAACATAAAATGATGGGTTTAATCCTTTGATGTTCTTGTGACCACTCACATCTGTGTGTTATCAACCTCCTCTACCACCACATCTTTATATAAAACATTTGCTAATAAGCTAATAAAAAAAGATGAAACAGCAATTGATTTCTTAAATTATTATTTTGATGTTTTGTGCTACAAAACATATAGTTAGCACTCTCCATTTTACTTAGAATATTGTTTACGTAATGACTAGTGAAGAAAGTTAACTTCTGAGCCATGGATATTAATAAAATTGCCATCAATAAAGATTATAAATTGTTGCAGTATTAGGGAATTAAACTAAAATTAAATAATATACATATAATAAGACATTTTTATTAATATAGCTATACACAATTTGTGTTAAACAAAAGGATATTATTAAAAATTGCCATCAACTTTGTTTTTTAATGTCTAGGAATAATATGTGTAGCTCTTCTCTTTAAAGTATAAGAAATATAGATACAAAAAAAATCTTGATTTCACATCAAAAAGCAAGAGCAACGTTTTGCCAACCCTGGAGTTTGCATGATTTAAATCTTGGTGTGACTGGCTTTCAATTTTACAAAAAGTAGTGAAACAGTTCAACTAGGAGCACAATCCTGGGTTTGTTTCAATATGTTACTTAAAAGAGGCATCTAGATAACTAATGTCAGGTCAGTGCTTTAACACATGATTCACTACGACAGTACATATTAAATCGAAAGATGTAAAGCTTAAAAAGAAACATGAACAAAAAAACCTATGATGAGATTTCTGTTCAAAGTACAACAATTGAAGAAAAAAAACAATTTGGAAGTCGGTCTGGATAGAAAATAGGAAGGAGAAACCATGGAGGACATTTAAAATATTACAGACTGTAACACAATAGAACAGGTGCATAAGAGCTTGGCCATCAGTCAGTCAAATGGCTGAATTGTGACAGCTGCAATAATGGGTCAGGAAAATCAATATCCCATTGACTGGTCTGCAGGAGTCTAATCACAGAGTTTTACGAATCCAGCCAAGGAGCAGATAGGACAGGCTGATTATGTCAGCCTTTTGGACCTTTTATGATTCCTCTGTGGTCCCGCAGCACCAGCTCAGATGGTCAAGTGAGGACTTTCAGTCACCTTGCATCAATTCCTTGTGCTTTTGCTGGACTTCGGGGGTGAAGTATTTTAGGGTCACAGAGTTCAAAATGCAGACAGCTAAAGGCGGAAAGCTTAGGACTGTACACAACCCCATGTTTGGCAAAGGCACAATAAATAAATTTCATCTGTCTTTCCTTTCGGTAATCATTGCCTGGACCAGAGAAATAACACCTCAGTTCCCGTTTAGGGCTGTGGAAAGTAGGCTTCCTCTGCAGTGGTAGTGTTCCTGTTACTTTTTCAGCCCAGTGAGTCCAACAGAGGTAACTTGAGGGTACAAAAACACACGCTTTTTCTTGTCAAATTCCTTCCATCATTCTGACACCTTAACAGGTGAGAAATAATGATATGGATGGAGACATACACTTATTGTGCTGCAGATCATAAAGACCATGACCAAAATTCAAATTTTGCATTAAAATATTTTGAAGCTTTTGAACCCTTGTTATTAGAGATGCTCCCAAGGCCTACTGAAAGATTCATCCGCATACCATTTCTGATAAGAGCCTGCTTCCACATTCCAAGCTTCATGTCTTTTATTGTTTATAATTGTCAGAAAAGCAAACAATGAATCCTTCTGTACTGTATTTGAAAGGGAGCAAGAAAAATAAAAACACTGGGGTGAGCGCTAGTGAAGGCACTGTTATTTTGCAGTCCATTGTGCACTGTGGCAGGTACTCAATGGGATTGTTGATGGTACACTTTTAGCTATGTTATGTAGAACAGTGCTGCTCTCAACATAGAGATGGAACAGTACACATGGGATTAGCTTGATGTAGCTACACCACATGTCTGCTCTTCTCAATCCCGATTTTTCCGCTGGACTTAAAATGCAGAGTGTGATAGGCATTTATTATTTAGAAGAGCATGAGATGGAGAGCAAAATGCCAAGATCTGTCAGAGTGTTGTGGGAGCGGTCTAAAGCTCACAAGCCTGTGACCCTAACAGATTTAATAATATTTCTGTAGTCAGAGATAAGTGGGTTTCAGGCACAGCCGATCAATTATGCATTAGTCGTATATATTTGACAAAGCCTGGCAAAGCTCCGATAGCTGCAATGGATATTACTGAAAGACCTTGCAAAAGTTTTCAAACCCCTTGAGCTTTTTCACATTCTACCAAATCAACTTAATATATTTTATTAGTATTTCATTCTATATACCATTGGAAAGTTATGCATGAATTATAATTTGGACAAAAAAACTGTGTTTTGTAGTTTTACTCATTAAAATGAGAAAAGGTTTGTTTCCCTATGTATCAAGCTCATTTTAATCAAATCACTCTAAATATAGTGCAGTACAACAAGTTGCCTTTATAAGTCACTTTAGCAATGATTAACACACCTGTATATTAAGCCACCAATTCTGTTCAGATCCAAGTAACTTACTCCATGCAGGACTCAAGGTGGTGGCAGCATGATGCTGTTGGTAGAAGTGTTTTCAAGTATTGACAAGGACACTTGATATTTGGATTTTCTAGAAAGATGGATGGAACTAACTGCAATGTTGTCCTGCTGGGTGTGTGTGACAGATTTTAAGAATAATGTTGATCTACACAGAAATCGTTTTATGGTGGATATATTCATGTTTTTAAACCATTCCTTTTCTCAGTGGTGTTCTAAATGAAGTGGAATGACAGTATCTTAGTCTGAATTTCCATTTACCACACGGTTGCTAAACCTACCACTTCAACCAGTTTAGTGATTTTTGTGGTTTGATAGCAGAGATATGATTATCTATTAATAAAGAAATGGCCCTGTGGTGGACTGGCAACCTGTCCAGGGTGTACCCCACCTCTCGCCCCTAGACAGCTGGAGATAGGTACCAGCAGCCCTAACCCCTTGCTCACACTGGCTCCGGTGCAGTTACCGAGCCGACGGAGACCGCAACTCCCGCACACCCCCTCTCACACCGCCCTTTTGACTACGGTGCGGTGCGGCTCTGCGACTCCGGCAACAGGTCCGGAGATTTAACAGAAGTTCACTTGAGTTCACGTAACTTCACGCGATAACACGGCCCAAATAAAGGATTTTTGCGAGAGCTTGTTGCGGAGGGCTCCGGCACGCCGCAAGGATAGCTTTCTTGCGGAATTTTCTGCAGCGCCGGAGTGTCTCGGTAACCGCAGCCGGACAGCTCAGCAGCCGGTGAGAGAGGTTTACGTCTTTTCAATGACTTGGAATCACTGCGGCGCCGCACCCACCGCACCGCAACGGTAAGACCGGAGTCGGTGTGAGCCTGGGGTAAGTTGTAATGAGCTGTATTTGTTAATGCAACCAAATATTTTCTTATCTTCTTGGATCTTCTGCTTCCTTGAGGTTAGACTATAGAATCACTGTGAGAAATCAAAAAAGGCTATACAAAGTTAGAGGTCATTGAACTTGCTTGGCTTTTCAGCAGCAAGTACTATGACAATGTGCAAAAATTGAATAGGTAAAATGAAAAACAGCCAGGTGTTGCACTGGCTATTTTTGGAGTGTAAAACACAAGGAGGCAAACTACACATGCACAGCGCACTTATCAGATTTGTTTTGGTGAAATGCTTAAAAATTATCTCCTATTTATTCCACTTTATTATTATTTGCAACATTGTGTAAGTCTTTCGGGTAAAATTTTGATTCAAAAAATAGATTGAGGCTTAAGGTTATACTATGAAAAAGTTCAAGGGATATGAAGACTTTGCAAAGCAATGTGTTAACTTCAGTTGAGTCAGAAAAATACCTTTGGATGAAGGGTTTAGATTAATCTCTCTTTTGTATGGAAGAAGCAGCCCCTGTTGCCTACTTTGGTATGGACTGTTTCATCAAAGCAGGTTTTAAGGCAATTCTAAGAAGTGATGAAGCTAGGGTATGTCTAGAGACATAGGCAACTTGTAGAGTAAAATCTCGAGAAGGTTGGCAAGTTTCTATCAAAGAAGTTGCACAAAATATCATGCAAGTGATTCATCACTTCTCTTTTGGATGGCTCTTTAAACGAAGTGGCATGTTCCTCTTAAGACTTTGATGTAGTCTTTTCTCTTCCCTCCCAGGTCTGCTAAGACATAGACCTTTGTCCAGTGGGGGGTTTAACATGGGACAAGCTGAATGAAGGGATAAAAAGAGGGGGGAAGCCTGGCCATCACCAGATAGAGCAGAAGAATACACTGATGAGGACTGTGAAAGAAGACAACCATCTGAGACCGCTGGCTCCAGAACCACGAGCTCCCATACCTGGAAAAGAAACCCAGTGGAAGAGTTAACAGGAAATATATAAAACAATCAAAAAAGTCCTAGTGACATGTAATTTTCAATTAAAAAGGAAAGAGGGATTTTATTTTATTTTTTTTCATATCTATACCACATTTGGCTTTCAACCGGAGAGGCTATTAAAGCATCTGGAGAAAGATGAAGTTTGTACCACATCAAAGAGTAGCTCCGCAAACGGAGCTGCCTCACAATGTTGCTCTACAGAGAGATGGGAGCACAGACCTGCTTTATATGCTGCAGCCCTGTGCAGCCAGTCAACAAGGAATAATAACCCAATGGCAGAGATGGATGACACACTGCACACGTTTGGAAAAAAGGTCACTTTTCTTACACTCGAAATAAGTCTATTACATGTGGTTGGAAACAGATCCAATGAAGTGAAATTGCATTTCTTGTCTAAATGAATAAATCTTCACTTGAACTTTAGCAGCATCCAAAAAATGGGAAGAGATGCAAAGTTAGAGGAAAGGCAAGCTCACTTAATTTGTGGATGTGGATGGGTTCGCTGCCCACACCTTCCCCGCCTTCGCTCAAAACCTTGATCTGAATGAGATAGTTGTCACCGGCGGAGAGGCTCAACTCGGCTGTGGTTTTTGTGGTGAAGATGGTGTGGATGTCGTTGTATCGATGTCTTTTCAGCATCACCTGCAGCAGGGGACATGATGAAGGTAAATGCACCAATGCAAAAGAGATAAAGAGAGCATAAATCGGGTTTAAAAATGAACTGGAACCTACCAGATATCCAGTCACCTTTGACTCTGTCTCCATGGCAACTACAGGGTCCCAGTGCAGCGTTAGTGTGGAGCCAATCATGTTCCATTGTATGTTGAGCGGAGCCCTGTCTGGTGCTACAAAGGGAAATCAGACATAAATATATATATATATATATATATACCAATCATTAGCTGGTTGCTTAAATATATATGCTACACACACATGCTTTGTGTGTTGCATATGGTGTATAGCTTACCGAAATCTGATACAAATCCGTTGCATGTAAAATTTAGGATTTCTATGAATAACCTGAGCCTCTAGAGTGGCTGTAGACAGGAATCTTTTTTAATTGTATTACTGTGTCTTTTAGAGAAATATCTTGTGGCTTATAGGTATTAAGAATTAATGGATCACTAATTCTGACCATAACTCCCAAGTTTTTTTAGTACTTATTTGTAAATCTAACCTGCTGAATGGTGCATTTCATAGCCAATGCAGACATTGGCTTCAGGCCTGCATTTGACCCCCTGTCAGTGCTTTGGGATAGGGAGGGGCTCGCTCCCTCCTTGCTAAAGAAGACTGTTCAACTAAGCAACCAGTGTTCTCATCTGTTGTCATTGAAGTCTCCAACAACGCAGTGACTAGACTTGTCACTAGTAACCTTAAAAAAATGCTTAAGGAGTTTAAAAGGTCACTAATATAATGACAAAGGGCCTCTTTTTCTGTCTTCCCTTTTTCTTTTTATCATCAAGTTTTTTTCTTGTCTGCTCTGCAGGCTGTGGGTTTGAATGTGCCGTACTTTACAACAAAAAGTCTCATCGGGCCATTGAGCAAACGCTGTGAGCAGGCGGTGCACATGGGAGATGTGCAGTTGCAGAGTCACTTTAGGCTTTGTCGAACTACAAAATGACGTAAAGGTGACAGTATACCTCTGAAAGCTATAGTACTAGTAGAGATTAGTACTTCAAAAAGGGAAATATGAGCAACTTCGCAGTAAAAATGACAGTATCAACGATAAACGCTGTTGATAGCTCACATCCACATCATGAAAAAAACAAAAAATATCTCTATATCACATTTATCATTGAAAATAGTGTTTTCTAGAAATATATTGAAATAGTATCTCAGTGCTCAGGTAGGTGTTAATACAACAAATATAAACAACTATCTAATACTGAAAACAGACAGAAGGCTCCTTCACTCAGTAACATCAAACACTATGAAGAATTTAGAAACAAGGCTTGGTTAGTCTTAAGTATTGTGTTCACAGGTTGGATAAAGGACAGATTTCCAGTTTAGGTCACTTGTCTGGCTTGATTAAGCTTGTCTGATTCTAGTTATAGTAACTTGTTCCAAACATCTCTACAGCAGTAAAACTTCTACTTATAAGCTTAATTTTGGTATCATAAAGATAATATTTCTTCTGTCCTTTACTAACTGTGTCACTTATGGTCAAAATTAATTATGCTTTCAGCTGTTTGCTGGTTTTGCTGTGGTTCAAATGTCTTTTATCTGAATCCCAATAAAGTAAGATAGGTCTATACAGCCACACAGTGTTGTGAACAGAACACATGCTTACATGTTACACATAAGTTTCCTCATGATATTTTTTCCAAGTAAATAGCTAAGACAAGCAGGATTTGTTGATATCCAAGGAAATTTTAAGGGTTCCAGGAAGTTGGTCAGTCAGATTTAATTTAATATGGCAGCGGCAGCTTTCATGCCGGAGATGCAGAGCATTCTTTTCTCTCCTGGACTTACGTGGTTTCCTTGTAGTGTTGTTGATGGGTGCTGACTGAGGCCCAGGCCCGGCAGTGTTGAAGGCAGCCACAGAGAGGTAGTAAACCGTGTTCGCTTTCAGCCCTGTGATGTTAACCTGTGTGTAGTTTCCAGTAATGCGCACTTTGCCAACAGTGTCAGGCTTGGTGTCATCTTCCCAGTATACGACCTGATAGGACAGAAGGTTACAAAAAAAAACAGGGGGCCTAGAATGTTGAAACATTATTTCATTGGTGTATTTGGTTATATTAGTAATTATTTTTAAATATATATGATATTTAAGATATTTGTTTTTGTCGAAAATGAGATGGGGATTGAATAAAAGGTTTTTCACTAGTGGAGGTTTGAATGAATTATGTATAACCAGTCACCACTTTACATTAGATCTTATAAACAGGTCATTGGTGGGTAATATAATCATATAGTGGAGAAAGAAATGATCTGATTTTGCTTTTGGGAGATGGATATTGGGAATGGGAGGGGATGAATGAATATAATTAAATGCAAAAACTTGAAGGAACAAATCACTGCGACAGCAAAGCAGATCAGTTTAGCTTCAGACTGTCTGGTGTCTGTGATGTGTGACGGTGGTAAAGCAATTAATAGAGGATATTACTAGCTTTTTGGCTTACTTAAAGGTCTTCACTCTTAATGAGCCCATTACTAGCTAACATTAAAGTTAAAAGGATAATTATAAATTAGTGTTCGTTTAGGAGTACTTTGAGTTTTTGGTTTTTCACTGTTAAAGGTTTTTTCCAATTTGTAATTAGTTAAAGCCAACATATTAAAAGCACTAGACTGCTGTTTACAATAACATACCCCCCCACCCGAGAAGACTTGATTTTGAATTTATTTGGAGTTAAAATTCAACACCAGTTAAGTATAAATAACTCAACTGTATAATAAATAGGTATGTTGCCGTACAGCCGGGAGCCTATTGAGATTCAGAAGCCTTAATCCACTTTAGCCCTGCAATTTTAGAACTGTGCCATGGTTGGAAAGGACAATGAGGCCAGTGCTATGGCAACAGAACTGCTTTGTGCTATGGGCCAGAGGTGACAAATATTCAGAAAGTACCATGGGGAATAAAAACAGCAAGGCCCACTTTGCATATTTGAAAAAGAATGCTTGCTAATTCTTTATAATGGTTTTCTTAGTTATTTCTCCAATTCTTTAGGCCAAAAACATGTTTGTGTAGACAAATAAAGAATATGGAGAATAAAATACAGTGCCTTGCTAAGGCATTGGCCTCACCTTGTGCTTTCCATATTTAAAATATTTTATTGGGACTTTTAGTGATACATACACACATTTTTTTTACAATTATGAGGTAGAAGAACAAGAGGATAATTTTCAGATTTTTCCAGTAATAAAATCTGAGGGTGGTATGTATTATTTTTGCCTCTCTTTGAGTTAATTCTTGTTAGAAGCACATTTTTGCTGTGGTAAATCTGCAAGCTACTCCAACTGTGAATGAACTGACATGATCATTTGGGCCAATATCAGTAATGATATTAACCTTATGACAGATTATAAATAATTTACTGGTATTACATATTCTTATTCCTCTACACTTTGACAGCAATCACCACTAACCTTCACCCCTTAATTAGCTTAACACCCCCAAAACCTATGCAGCATCATTATCACTGTAATATTTCTTTACAAAAACCAAGGTCAAACCTAGAGATCCATTTTCTTTCTGATCTAATCCATTACGATACCTGGGTTGACATAGTGCCCATTATCCATACTAGCTAAGTTTCCTTGTTTAAAATGAAACCAATCATAATGCGGTGCACTGCATATTCCTAATTCTAACACATGGAAAGGCTTTGATCAACACCATTCCGTTCTATTTCCAGCCTTATGTGTTCAGTGGGTGTGGAACAGACTTCCTGACACTGCTAAAGAAATGCATCCCCACCGCATGAAACTGTCATATTTCAAAGTGAAGATAATGCTTAAGTTCTGCCGTATACATAATACTGTATACGGTCACAGTAAAACCTTATTTGGCATCTTTTACAATTTGTTAAAAGATTATTGCACCTGCGCTCAGGATCTTTAGGAATCCTCCATGAGATGTTTCTTCTAATCTTCTAATCTTCTCCTCACCAGCCATTAAGAACAAGCCGAAGGCTGTGTCTTTGTATGTTTGCAGTTTTGCCTATGTCTATTTATCAAACAATAATACAGGAGGTATTCAGTGTTCGGGTTCTTTTCTTCAAACCTAACTTCGTTGAAATTTGATCATTGACTTTTATACTGTTTTTGTTACTATCCATGATGCTGCCCATTCTTTCATGTTTTCTAAAACAACCTCTGAGACCTTCACAAAGCAGTTCTATTCATAATATTTTTTTCTATTAAGGCACTTATTACCTAGATCAAAGTAAATGGGGTTGAAGAGAAATGTCTATCACACTTTTTTAGATTTGTATATTAATTTGCAAAGTTTAGTCACATACAATCTCACTAAAACAATTTTCATCAATGACAGTTTACCTCTAAAACATATCTTAAGTTGTAAAACAGAAGAGAAAAGAAAAAGAAACAGAAGATACTTTAAATTGAACTAAAGAGCTTCAGAGAAATGCTTCATTACCATGTTAGAGGAAAGAAAAAAGGATGTATCCATGAGTCATACCTCATATCCCAGAACTCTTTCTGGGAGGGAAGGGAGAGTTTCCCAGATCACTTCAATTTCTGCTGCCGACAAACTTCTGGCCCTAACCCTCTTAGGAGCTGCACTGGGGACTGCAGAAATAGAGAAGAAATGTGGTCAGGATCCCACAGCCTCATCTAACACCATCAAACACACTAATAGCAATAAGAGGGAAGGCGCTGAATAGACCTGTAGTTTCACTGAGAAGCTATTTCCCGAGTTCGCTTTTAATGGGATCTGTGACTGACATAAGGGAAGACTATCTGCCCGGCAAATTCAATTAACGGGATACCTCCCTGACAGCGCAGTGTGGTAAGTGTCTGCAAGGATTTCCTGTAATCTACCAGCAAGATAACTAATATCAAGTTGACATTTAGTGGTTTGAGAGGGGAAGGAAATAACAGCATTGGAAAAGGGGGAAAAAAATCATCACTATTCAAGGTCACAATTGTAAGAATAAAGATTACAGCTTATTTGAGCATCACTTTCTAGAATGTCTGCAGCGTACCGTCTTCTGCGGAATACACTGTGGCGATGGAGCTGAATGGTCCTTCCCCCCGGTTGTTGGAGGCTGCCACTTTAACGTCGAAAGGCGAGAAAGGTGGGATACTGTCGTTGCGGAGGACGTAACGAGATACGCCTGGCGTGGAGATGACTGCCCGTGTCCATGTGACTGTGCCCACAGACCTGAAGGCGATGATGTAGCCAAAACCTTCCCCATTCTGCAGTTCCTCGGGCAAAGGCTGGGAGTGAAACACAAAACTATAGTGATATTAAAACACATACAGACAAAGAAACAGACAGGCCCGTCTCTGCACCGCACATTGATTAGGGCTTCTGGGAATAGATATGGCCTCTTCCTTCATCTCCACAGTCACCTTTTACCTTATCTTTCCCCCCCTGCATGGCCTTGTAATTGTACCTAAGTGCAAAACCCTTCAAAGGAAAGTGCTCTCTTTTGCTGGTTTTGGAGGGGGAATTGGCTCTCTGTAGCCGAGCCAGATGAGGGGTGGCTCCCTCTAATGTAGGTCATAAAATTACTCCACTCAATTCTGCACAATTAAGCAAAACCATTACTTGCCGATGGAGAGAACCGTAAAATGTGACAGATGACTTACCTCCCATGTTATCACTAATTCAGACTTTGTGCCGCCTCCACCTCCGACATCAGTGGGAGCTGTATCAGGAACTGAGAGGTAAAACCCAAAGGGGGAAGCAATTAGAACACAGTTTACAAAGCTCGAAGGAAAGCCCTGAAATGCACTTGTAGCCTTATGTCGAGACAGACAGCGACAGATACTGTTCTATGCCACACATATGCCCCTCTCACTGCACGTAAAAGCATTCCAGAGAATTCTGATTTACAGACGTTGGTCAAATGTCAGTGCAAGGCCTGTAGGCCCAGATTCATAATATCTTTCAAATGACATTTTGACTTAGCCCACTCTGTTTCTATTCCCATTTGCCTGAGTGTTCAATGTAGCATGTTGGAAAAAAATGACCACTCACCCACATCCTTATAATATCCTTCTGTAAGAGCAGCCCTGCTCTAGTAACCTCTGTTAGAATCTGATTGCTATCAGTGTTTTGTCCAGCAGGGTTGAATGGAAAACAAGTTTTTTATTGGATTTCTTGTTTCCTTGTACTCTCCTGCCACAATATTTCTTATCCTAGTGAAGTCTGTCTTGCGGCAAAATACACAAGGTCTAAAATATTTAGACTTATCAAACCAGAACTAGATAATCCTAAGAACACGGATCCTTTAAATGCACAGAATGAGGCATATTTTAGTTTTGCTTTTTAAAAGCTTTAAAATATGAGCTAGTTTAAAGGAAAATCGTAAACTGTAATTTTTTCTAAAGTTTGTGTCAGATAATGATACATACCTTGGACTTTACTATTTTTCTATATTATCCCCAAATTTTTCAAAAGTTAGACATCTCACTAGACTAATTTGACAAAAATAGACTTTTTCTACTTTGGATTATATTTTAAAACTCAACTTGACATGTAAAGCACTTAGATATTTATCTTTTGTTAAGCTTAAAGGAAAGGAGCTTTAATTTAGCATTTGTGACTTAATTCAATGGGACAAATATTTGCCTTTTTTGTCATTGGAGAGTTCTATGATAAACCTCCAAATAAACACCCTGCCTTAGAGCCCCTTTGTTTTTTTTTTTAAAACAACCTTCAGCCTACAGCCATATGTGCTTACCAACATGCATCTTGGATTGTGAAACTAAAGGGTGTTGTGCACAGTAAGACTTTCCGGACAAATGCTTATACTTTAGCTCAGTAAATAGCTCCATTGTTGGGTTACAGTAGCATTTGACCGAACAACTTTTTTTGACTTTCTGAGTTTGGGTCCAGGCGGCGATGACTGACTGTTTTTTTTTAAGGTCAGCGTTAATTGTAAAACTTTTTTATTCTAACTCTATTTAATGGGAAAATAGATGATACACTAAGAAGACACTAAGAAGAAACACACTAAGAAGAAAAATGAAGACATACATTTAGCCAATTAGCTGAGAAATTCTAATCATTTGAGCACCCAGTTTGTAGCCAAGTTGAGTGCACAGAGGATAGTTTTACATACTGGCATCTTCTGTCCTAGTCTTGGCTGAAGCTGGACTGGGTTCTCCAAGGCCCACAACATTTCTGGCCACAACCCTGAACTCATACTCCACCCAGGCATTTAAACCAACCACAGTGGCTGTCAGCATGTTGCCATTGACAACCTCCGGCACTAGAAAAAAAAAAGAAGTAAAATCAAAGCAGAAAATGAAATTGAGGCAGGAAAAAAAACCACAGTATCAACAAATATCCTATTTCAAAATCATACAAAGATGTCTAATTGGGATACCTGTATCTACAGCCTGCCAGCCCACAGTGAAAGGCGTCCGAGCCTGAATGATGTAGCCCGTTATGGGGCTGCCATTGTCTGTACCGGGCGTCCAGGACAGCTGTGCTGTGCTATCTGTGATTTCATCCACTGCAACTTTGTCTGGAGGGCCAGGAGGACCTGGAAAAATGAAATAATATAAGGTTAAAACCTGTTTTTACAAGCTTAAAAACTTCTGCTTTAGAAGCTTAAAAACTTCAGCTTTATATCTGTAAGCTTTGATATTCCCTTCAATTAAAAGCCTGATCTGCTCTGTGTTTATGCAGTGTGTGTGTAATGTGAACAGCTAAGCATTGAACTAATAAACCGGATGGGCTCTATTTGAAATTGAACCAGACGCTACATGTAGAAGATAATCTGCTGAGAATAAAGGAAACATTATTCACTATGGTGCTCTGTTATTCAAATGTGCTCCATGATATTGTGAGAGGTGCAAATTAGGCAATTATAGTCATTTTCTATGATAAACACAGCCTCCTCACAGCACCTGGCAAAGATATTAAGGTTTGTTAAGAACAAACCTTCCAGCTTAATAATCAACGATCAGTCCCCTCACTCTGCTTGACACAGCAAGCATAAAACAAATGTACTGCAGCAAAACTGAACCCAGAGCTGCTCACGCCACTGTCAGTCATTTTTATGTTTCAGCAGTATTTATAAGATATTAATCGAAGATGACAGAACTTGGGCTCAGGCAAAGTCCATTTTTGCTTTCCTCCACCGTTTTTTTTTTCCACTGAGAGCCTGGGGGATTTTTCTCACTGGTCTGTCAAACATCTTTCACTTTGGAAAGACTCCTACCTCTAAGTAAACATACAAGGTTATTCACAAATTGGCCGCAAAAACAAGCTGTTGGAATCAGCCAAGTTACCTTTGACAACCAGAATCGCAGAGGTGGACAGGCTCTCCACATCCGTGTTGATGACGCAGACATACTTCCCACCATGGTTAAGCTGGATGTTGCGAATCATCAGATCCCCTGATATACTCTGGAGAAGAGCAATAAATGAGGGTAAGGGGGGGTGCAGTGTTATTTTACCGGCATGCTTTTGGCACAGTGATGTTTAACATTTAAAATATACTTTCCACTAAGTCCTCAGGCCAAGGTATTTCTGCATCTCCCCACAACAGCATGGCAGATGCACTCTGCACAAATAAAGCTATTGGCTGTCCTTCAGGCGATAACTGCACCGACCAACACGCACTTCAACAAACAGCTACCAGCTACACACAGGACAAACTGAGCAAACACATTCAAGCTAATTGGCAATCATTATTTTCTAATAACATATACTTGAGTATGGCTTGGGTGTAGATCTCAGTGTACAAAGCAAATATCACATATTAGCTGCCAGCAAATGGTTTCCATTTGAGGAAACAAAATGACGACACACTTTTTTATCAGGAAATGAAAAATTAAATATTATACTTTCCACTCTAAATGTAAACAGTATTGTTGATTGTTTTCCAATCTCTCTGTTGCATTTGATTTGGTGGTTATTTTTCCTTTGTAATTAATTCTTTTAATGATATTTTGATAGTTTTTAATGACTTTTTATACTCCATTTCAAACCTACTGTGCATATATTATTCTCATGATGTTGGGCCTTAAAATGATTCTTGAGGGTAAAAAGGTTATCAAATCATTATATGCCAATTTTATTTCTAGACTTGCTCTAAATTCCCAAACAAGTTTAAGAATGATAAACCCTTTAGAAGCAACTCAACAGGGAAGAAAGTGAAGCAACTGCAATCCCAATTTTAAGCATTAGAAGGCCAGATTTATGATTTTGGCCCAAATAAATAAAATCTCTCCTTGTATTTAAATTAACTATTAGTCGTTTTCAAACTAAAAGGCAAAATATAAATATTTGAAATAATTTCTAGCTTTCTGTTACTTCTTCTAGCTAAAAGCCTTGAACAGGATGACTAAAAGAAGTAGACTCTGAATTAGCCTTTAACCTGCTCATTATTTTTCTCTCATTTTAAAACATAATCATGCATCCATGAAAAATTGGAAGGGGCTTTGTGGTTGATTAAGGTCTTGGATAGATCACAGATGAGAAACACAGCTGAACTGATTGCATTACTATTTTTCTTTGTAGAGGGAAAAATATTGCTTTTGGAGACCCTTCTGGCCACAAATGTCCTGCTGACTTTAACCAAAAGCAGACTGTTTTATAATATCACCTCTATTAAATAAAAAATAAACAAATAAATAAACATATATTATAAAAAAGTTAAGTTTCATTTGGAAGGAACCTACTGATATTTTACATTTTCCTGAATTGTGTCATATTTAAACATTGTCCTAGTTTAGACTGATGTATCAAAATTATTGTAGCAGGGGTTAAAACACCAAAAGATCTGGGTCTTTTAATACATCTTTGAATACTTTTTTTTTAAGATGCCAGAAAGTAAACCAAAGATGTTGGAGGATTCGCCAGGTGGTCAAGTTCCTAAAAAGGACTGAAATTTATGTATTTTCTTTTCATTCTAAATAAAAATATAGGTAAAAATGTACAAACAATAAGGTGTTTGAAAAACAGCCATCAAGTGATTGCAATAGTATCAATTGCAGTTGCTCTTGTCAACAAAGGTGATTTTCCAAAGGTGCAATTGTAAACAATAAAGTCAGTTGTTACATTACTGACAGAAGATGTTGTTGCAGAGCCAAAGAATGTTATTTGTAGGGTATTTGGACAGCTGGCTCCCACATTAAACAAGAAATTGGATATATTCACACTCAGGACACATGGATTAAATTCTGAAGGCGCGATAACCATGTACAGACACAGACATAATTAATTCAGAATGAATGTTTTACATCATCAGCTAAGATTGAGCATTTTAGTGCATAAAACCATCTCTCAGTGCTTCAGAAAAAGAAAATATTGCAAGCATTCAGCTCATAATGACATTGTCTAAAACCCAGCAACTCACAGTCTCTAGGCATGTTTGTGTCATTCTGACAGAGTGCTATCAAGATATTTTTAGATCATCTTGCAGAGAGTCACATGCATCACATGGTCTCAACCTGTTAAACTAATGTTGATGGAATCTGAAAAGGACCTCTGGAAGGATGAGTCCATTTACGCTAAAAATGTTTGTTTTGAGGTAAAAATACAGAATCTCACAGGGAGAGATTTTATCTGGTCTATTTGATTGTGTCCTTGTTGTGACTGCTGATGGTATCCGCTCCCTGAAAGTCACCTCTCCAAGCAGCCTGTCACAGAGCATGTCAGCCAGTAAAAAAAGGGTATGCTGCATTAAAAACTAGTCACCTGGGGCCAACCTAGGTAAGACTTGCTGCAGTCACAGCAGATTTCATCAAGCCTGGTGGCTAGTCATTGTAGTTCTGGTGGACAGCCATCCCTCAAAGGGATCTCAGACAAAGAGAGAAAAGGCAAATGTATGCGGCCAATGGGAGAAAAAAAGATCTTTACTTCCCCTTTTCTCCTTTAGCACTTTTTTCATCCTCTTTGACAGCTTTTATGCAACCAGTCAGATTTGCACTCCAATGTCAGCCCCCACCTGGACAAGCCAAAAGCTAGAAATAACTTGCAAGTCCTCTTGTCTTAGCAGAAAGGAAGTGGTTGGGCAGGTTTGCTTTATTTATGGTAATTAATTCATCAGAAGCTTTTAAGAAGGGTTCTGGTAATCTCTCTGGACAGGGGAAGCAGATTCTTGGTGAAACTATATCTCATTAAATGCCATTGCACCCCTCAATGTCACCAGTAATTTCCATTTGCATTAATGAAGGTGTGGGGTTGGCATGTCCACAACACTGTCAGGGTCTTCCAACCTTTATCACCTGACTGTCACTAATTGATATATTGCAATGCATAAAGCAAAATTAGATTGAACGAGTAATTATTTATATAATGACAAGCTCTGAACAATTAACTTTGTCCTTTGTCAAAGGGAACAAACATTCAACAAGAAGTCATTATTTTAAGGTATAAAGATTTCAAATGAACACTTACTGGTGTCAGCCTTGCCCTTGGTGAAAGCAAGGCGGCTCATTACTTAATTATTTCTGGGCTCTAGATTCATAAATAGGTATGCAAATTCAATTATAGCAGCGGGAGATGATAAGAAAATGTTCTCCCTTGACGTTCAGGAATTAGAAGTTGAAAGGATGAAAAGGAGAAAGACTTTATTAATCAGGACCCTTTGTAATCAAAATAGCATTTGCCAGTATTTTTAGAAGTTTAAAGCATGGAGGCTTACAGTGAGTTTAAAAAGGTTAGAAAATTTTATATATACCTTATGGTGTCCTCATCTGATATAGATCAACTAATCGGCTGGTGACTGGGCCTGTATGCTTTTATACCTAAATCCTGATCAAAAAACCTCAAACAAATTTGTTTAAAGGTCCTGCTCACTAAATGTAAGTGTAATGTAAACTCAATGTTAGCGCAAAAACAGGTAGAGGCTTTTAGAAAAAAAAATAGATATTTTATGGAGCTGTCAGGTTTATTCAATTATGATTATAAAATTAATGTGTGCTTATGAAACATTTTTGCAAGGGGATGCTCCACTCCTGTCTCATGATTCAGTCAGGAGACCATCCTGCCTTGTCATTCTGATGGAGCATCTTGTCTTTATGAACTGATCAAGTCAGAACAAATACTGTTTTGTAACCATGTGTTATGTTCTGTTAATAAAAGACGGCTGCAGGAGGGGATTCGGAGAAGGAAAGCTTGAAGTTGGGTTGGGCTTTTCCTTCCGCTCCTGCAGAAGCTGCTTGAATCTCTTTCCTGTGTAGACTCAATTTCTTTTTATTTGCAAACCTACATTTTCTGAATCCAACAGAAGCTATAATAAATGTAATTTAACACTGCATTTTGGATGATTTCAACAGATAAGAGAAAGGCTAAACATATTGCAGCAAATCTGCACTGTTTTGTCGTTTTAAGCTTTTAATCTGCAGAATGTGTGGATTTGGGAATAGTGTCACTTTTTGGGAAATTTCACAGTTAACCTAAGCTAAGTGTCTAGTTATTCTACAGGGATTATGTTTCAGATGTTTTCATGCCGAAGATGGTGAAGATGTTTTAAAAATGTCACCTAACTAGAATTAGGCTTTCTTTTATTACAATAGTAAAAATATATTTAGTCAGCATTGCACATCAGTGGGAGGTCTATGACCTCACATAAATGGTAAGCATTGCAACAATTAAAGGTTCTGTAAATGAGAAGGAAAAGATAAATACATTGCAGTGGCATAAAGGCAACACAAATAATTAAAGAGTATAAAAATGAATGATTGATTAAAATGATTTTATAAAAAAATAAAATAAAATCATTGATATACAAATAAAAAAATGGACTGAAAACATAACTATTAATGTTTGGATACCACAAATGCCCGATTCAAGGCAATTTATAGTTTCAGCACTTTAACAGTTTTCTGGAAGTTAAGTCAATAAATGGGATCAATCAATCAATCATTTTAGCTATTTGATCAAAATAATCTTTGAAAATAATATTTTTATATTTCTTTGTGACCAATTTTTACAACTGAAAGATGGAAAGAATATTCGGTAATTCTCTTTTAAATTCTGGTGTCTTTCTTCATTAACATGGAGGATTTCATTGTTTTTGTATATCACCATTGACCTACTTCAAAGGAAATTCGATTTGGCAATAATAATTGGTGGGTAGGAGATTTACTAAATTTGCAGGCAGTAACTGGCTAAAACAATTTCTGATCAGTGCAACTCTATTTATTGAGACTTTCACAGACTTTCATTATTAGATAAACATATATATGTGCCTGTATTCCAAGCTAGTAACTCTCCTTCACTTCCTACACTGACCATAGAGAAGCTTTCAAATGGGTACCTCTTGGCATAAATCATCCTCCATGGGTATTAATGGTGTCTAAGAGGTCCTTAGCTGTGCAGTGGACCGTTCCCTACCCCAGCACACATGGCCCAATTAATCCCAGAACAGGCAGAAAGTTAGAAGTTAAATGCCTTGAGATGACTTACCCCGCCCACTCTTTCAAAATGATCACGGTCTTGCTGGAAGTCGATGAGCTGGCCATTGAATGCCCACGAGAAAGATACGTCCAGAGCTGGATCACAGGCAATCTGGCAGGGCAACACGATGCTCTCGCCAACAATAATCTCCATGTTAGTGGGCCTCATGGTGATTCTGGTGGGCTCTGGCCAGACAACAGATGACAGTGCATGCATGTTAATTCCTGCCACCAGCACCTCCAGTGCCTCCCCTTGACCCCTGCAGCTGTGATCTCACTACAATTCACAACTAAATCAATTGGATGTCATTGAATGGTCACAGGATGCTTGCTTAAACAAACATCTTCATTTCATGCCTTACTATTGGCAACATTTAATGACATCTCAAATTTGCAGTTAATGTTTTCAGAGCAGTTTGGAAGACAACGTTCAAAGCAGAAATGCAAAGAGCAGAGCATGTTCCCAGCTGCGACTGCGGTGAAATGGAGACCTTAGAATGCTTTGAGGAAAGGTCACCGTAATTAAATTCTGTGACATTAAATAGTTCAGCTGTCAGGGTAAGAAAAGAATAGAAGCTAATGAGAATAAATGTGATGCTTACAAACACAGCACATTAGACTAGGGGGCTACATAAATATGTTATGTCACAGTACTTAGATAATGACCTTTAACTACATCAAGGATGATGTCTGATGCTACTTAACTGCTATCTCATGGAATGTGTAATAACTGCTATGTTTATTCAGCAATAACCCTAAGTTGTAAACATTATATATGCATCGTAACTCAAGAGAAAAAAAAATAAAAATCTGATATTTTCCAGCTATTGCCTGCCAAGATATGGACCTTTATTTATTTATTTATTTTACAAGAGTTGCATAAAATTCAATCATTTGCCAATAAGCTGTCCTCTAATAATGGCTTTACACAAAACAATAATTGGCCAGTATGGAGTGTGCTTGAGTGTGCCTCTTTATAAGTTTTTCAAGGAACAGAAATGTAGATAACAAGCTTATTACTTTTATTAGTGGCAACCTAATATTGGGCATATATCCTCATATGCAGTAAGAATACAGAGAAAAAAAAGAACAGTTTAATAAGAGTCCAAGATTCTGAAAATGACCAAAGTATATTTTTATTATATAGAAGTATACGTACTTCAAAGATTAGAATGATTACACCAGCTCACAACCCAAGATAAAGGGTAATTAAAACCAAATGTTATAACCATTTACAACAACTTCCAATCCAATTAGGATAATGATATTCGTGTCACAGCGTGTCTGCCTCAAGAAAACCACAGCTTGTTCCCTATTTGCCCATTTGAAATTCAATGTCTTAAAAACTGCCTTTTATAAGCATTCTAATGAGAAGTTTTGTGCTTATCTAACAACAGAACTAATTATATGAAATTATGTGAAAAAAAAATCTAAAGGGACAGTTCCAAACTTTAAAAATGAGGCTCTGTTAAGATGAAATTAGTATTTAATATCTTACCTGCAGCTTCTGGTGCAGTTTCCTTTGGAATAAATCCTAATTAGTTGGGCCCAGAGGCTACAGCTATTTGCCAGCTGTATGTAATTTTTTTTTTTTTTAATTAACCTTTAATCTGTCATCATGTAAACATTGGGTGCATATTTAAACAAGAAGCTAGAGATTATTTTTATTAAAAAAGAAGGAAGCAGGGAGTGTACCATCTTCGATCTAGAGCATGTAAATAATTACCTATCAGAACAACTACCTCATAGTAAAATCATTTTTAGATTAAACCCAGTTAATACTTTTGATTTTTAGGATGCACGCTTATATGAAAGAATAATTCTGACCAAAAATATTTCATTTTCGAATCTGTACATGTTTTACACAGCAGGATAGTAGATGGCGTATTTCCTCTAACCATTTATATCCCTTGTAGATAATCATTAGCTCCTCTGTAGGTAAAAAAATAAATGCAAATAGGACCATTCTAGAAAGGTTTATGGAACTACACTCACATAATAAACTAAAGTTATATTTGACAGTCAATGGCAAATTCAGGAACAAGTCTACTCTCTTTGAGTTATTTAGAGATCCTGAAAGAGTATAGTTTTCCACTGATGTCAAACATCAAAATTGAAAAAGAAGTGAAGATGATATGACTCTTTGAATGTTGACACTCGCAACAGTACTTTAAGTAGAAAGGTGCCTTCAGGGTTTTCTTGGATCCACTCTGGAGCCAGCTGCGTGGTAACAAATGCTGTACATTTCAACACCTTTGTGCACTTTCAAGATGCAATCGGCCAAATTTGTTGGCAGGCCGATGTTAAGCTCTACCTCTTTATTCATTTTATTTTTTTTTTATTTTTGAAATCTTTGGTGTCTGGAAGTTGTGTGATGACTGGAACTTGATTTAAAATGTATATTCTGGTGGAATTGTAAAATGTTTGTCAGCAACTGATCATTCAATACGAGGGACATTACATTGAAAGACAGCAGTTTAAATCAATGTTGATCTATAAGTGACTTGTGATGCAGTCTCTTGATCTACTGTTTTCTAAAGGGGGCTTTATTCTAACAACTTTATTTTAACAGCATGTATATGATGAGTTATTTTTTATGTTACACTCCACAATGTTGCAGTTTATTAATTGTACTTTGTTTCCTAATTCTAATCCCTCTTAAAAATATGTTGCTTTTCTTAATTTTCCTCCATGATACAGTAGGTAAAACAAAGCTATTATATGAGGAAACAGAGACACCGTTGTTGGTGCAAAATTAGTTAAGGGTTTTGTTTAAGATTTGAATTTCCCTAATTATTGAAAATATATGAAAATACGTCACAGGCTTTTTTTTAAGCCTCAGGTTGTCCTTGGATGCGCTAATTTTTTCAGAGTAGTTTAGAGTTTTGCTGTCATAATTCAACTTTACTCCTTTTCATTTTAGTCATTTCTGAGCCAGGTCAACGTCACAGCTGCAATCTTTTTAGTTCCCCTGTTTTTTTCAAACATTTGGACACCCACATTACCATGACTGTAACTGGTGGGACAGGGTGAGGATGAAGGCAGAAGCATCACAAGCAGAAAAAAGTGACTATACGCTGAGGGGTGAACTTTTGAAGTGATCGTACTTTTAATCTGATTCTATCTGCACAAGTCAGTAGTCATATGCTTACTTTAAGGCATTGAGCTTGCTGGCTGACACACATTTCCAAAGCCTACTTTGAACAATGCTGCTACATAAATGAGGGGTTTGGCCCATCCTGGTATGCAGATGTAGCAGGGAGATTTTAGCTTGAGTTTAACCATAATGTTTATTAATTTAAAAGCCCTAAGTGTCATTTAGAAATTAAATCTTCAACTTGCTACATATGAAATAAAATGAAAAAGATTATTTTTCCAGGATTTGATGGTATTTGCTATTTTTCTCAGTTAGTAATCTGCCAAATTTTTACTACTTTTTATATGTCCTGTCTAATATTTTAAAAGGAATGTTTTTTTACATCCTGAATCCTTGATTTTAAAAAAGAAACTTGCTGGAGCAGTTTTGGTGCTTTGTATTTAATAAAAGACAATTTACTTTTTGATTCTTACCTTACTGTTCATATTTTTGTACTTAAGATATTTTCCTCTACTATCTTTTATCTTCAGTTTTACCTGTTTTCTCTAATTGTATCCATTGTCACCCACAGGGACTTTAAAGAAAAAAGATAGAAGGACATGTTTTAAAGTTCCAAGTCAAGGTATAAACATAACAAAAAATCTCTATTTTGCAAAATATCATGGTTAAAGTGGATTCATCACATTTATAAAATATGCACATTTCTACATTTTAGTCATGGAATAATTTTATTTTGGATTTGATTACCTTGAAACAATATATTCCTTTTCTGGTCCCACAAGCCCTTATCTGAACATCTTTTCTTTGCCACCCTGCACACCTGGCTCATATTAAAAAGTCATTAAGTGGCTTCTGTTGGACTTGATGACTTCAAGCTAATGAATCAATCTATTCATTTGAGTGATTCTCTTTCACAGCAGAAAAAATAACTAAAACAAAGAACGCAGAGGTGGTTCTACACCAGATTTTCCAGGAGGGGCATAGTGGGCACATTGTTTTTATAAAGGACACAGAGCAAATATATATCACAAAAGAACAGGGCAATATTTAATTGTTTTAAATATAGAGAGGTCCACGGAAACAAAGAGCACTTGGATCTCGTGAGCTAAATGTTGCAAATCTCTGGTCATGCATTTGTTCTTAGCTAGATACAGAGGAAACTAAGTGTTATAGACTTATTTTTAGATCATAAAATCTAATTGATTCAAGGGACCAATCAGTTATAGTTTCTGTGTCTGAGAATATCATAAAAGAAATAGATTTACTATAATGTCCTTATTAAAGTGCCCAGAGGTGGGTGCTACCAGTTTTACAGGGGCACTGGTGGCCTCTGGCTATATAAATATAAATATATATTTTGACACTTTTGACTTTAAAACTGAGTTAACATGAACCAATGTGGTGGATCGTTTTAACGGCAAACAATCATATTTAACACATATTTAATCCTATTCATTATAATTATTTGTTACTACCATTAAGGAGTGAGCATATAGATTGTGCTCTAAAATGCTTCCAAAAAAATGTTAGTCCAATGCATGCAGCTCAGTCTGATAGGCTTCGGCTAATAGAAATGGTCTTACCGGTGACGAGGAGCCTCCCAGTTGTACTTGCTGTGCCAAACTGATTCTTTGCAATGCATGTGTAGATAGCTGCGTCCCGTTTCGTTACATTGACAATCTTTAAAGTTCCATTTGGAAACAGAGTAATCCTGGGGGAGGAAAAAATGGCCCTTTAGTGAGGGAACAATGAGTTCAGCTTTGTTTTGCATTGTTTGTATCACCTAAAACTTGTTCTAATAATCAATATACGTTTTCTCTTTAATAAGTTTTTACCTTATTCTAGGACAATTTTTCTAAAATGATAAACAGTAATGATCATACATTGCACTTTGACCCATATTGTGTGTCACACCTTGGAAAGAATTCCCTGTGATTCCAAATTTGAAAGCTGGGTGTGTAGCTGAGCTCGGGTCCATATTACTAAGAAAAAATATTATTTACTAAGAACATCCTTGAAGACATAAGTAAATAAATGATTGTGCTTTAAAGACTTTATATTGTTATGTAGGAGAGAAACTTCTGTCGAAATGGGAAATTAATAAAAAAAATATTCAAAAATGTAGCACACTCAGCCTAACCCTGCAATATGGTCGTAACAGCAGTGTGCTACATCAACAGAAAGTATAAAACCTAAAAAAGAAGGCAATCATAAATGATTAAGGGGTAAAATATAAAAGCATATCCAATTATACAAAGACAGTGCCTTGAAAAATTATCTACAAACTTAAATTTAAGAGATTTTAAGTTCTGGATCAACAGAAAATACTCCGTGATTGAGAAGCTTCTGTGAAATTTCCAGGATGTTTTACAAATCAAAGTTAAAAAAAAGTGTGGTGTACATTTTTAATTTGCCAAAGTGATGTATTCAAATAAAAATCACAAATCAAAAAATATTCAGAAGTCACACTATTAGTAAATGCATTTAATGGCATAAGACAAAATTGTCAGGCACAATAGAAGAAAATATACTTCAGATTTAGGGCTGGGCTGAAGGTTTAATTTCCAGGATGAACATACCTTAAAAAGTGTAGCCAGTGTTAAAAGGGGTGTGCTTAGATTCAAGCAAAAGTTTACATTTTAAAGGCCCAGTCAAGGTCTGAACATAAATCCAATTGTGAATGAAGAAAATCTTTAAAACTGAAGATGCCAGAGGCTTTCTATCCAATTTCACCAAGTTTGAGCTATTAAGAAAAGACAATAGTTGTACAATTTAATTATTTAGATATTGGTCTATCACAACCTTGTGCCATTAAATAACTATTTTGTTTTAATATGTCAAAATATGAAGGGGTTTAAGTGGTATGCATTCTTTTACAGAGTAATATCAATATATCACAGCAATAATTCATATATAACTCAATCCATGAAAGCAACATCTAGTCAGCTAGAATTACCTCCCATTATGAGATACCTAATTTAGCCTGGAGCTGATCACACTAAACTAGATACAGTAGATCTTTAAAAGTCCAAACAGGGTTTTGTTCTAAAGAATAACACTTTTCCCGCTGCTTCAATTTGTAGAACAACAGCATATCTGAATTCTTTCCTGCAGTCTTGATGCTTTCAAAGCAAAGTGGGCTTCACACGCAATGTGTTAAATGTCAGTCAGTCTGGGAATTCTACCAATTATCTCCGGCTATAGATGTGGCTTTCCATCCAGAGCAACTGTGCTGTTTGGACATGATGCTTCGTCGGCATTGCTTCTTTTACAGAACTCTTTTTAAAATGAGCAGCATGGGAGTGATTTAAACAGCATTTCTTCGGTGAAAGTCACTGCCTTTGCTGGAGTTGTTTTAAACCAGTCGGCATGAAGCGAACATTTGCAGCAAGGTTTAGAAGCTGTGTGCTTTTCTTTCTCTGCCAATGCTAATGTGTGTGAACGGGTGGATCTAATGTCTCTCTAATATGTGTTTTGGAGCCCTCCATGTATGATTGGTCTCCTTTGTTTTCTGTGAACTCCTTTTGTATATTCAACATTTCATCCGGGGATGAACAACAGATCAAATTAAGCACAGCTTTATGCAACAGAAATCTGTGTTTGATGCTGCTTACTGCCTGGATGCCGCCCTTGTGCAGTTTCTAGCCTTTTGAGGCCCCTTCTGCTCCCTACTGCATAGCTTTTATTTTTCTGCAGCCTTGTTATTTTTCATCAAACATACTCCTGTATTACTTTAAAAATATTAAAAAGGAGATAATTGCTTGTGCAAATGCTTCACTTTCCCATTTAAATTGCCTTAGTTTTTGTTTATTTTTTCTACTACACTAGTGGCTAGTTTTTTCGACAGTAGGCTGGAAGAAAATGGGGTATGAGAGATGGGCAGAGACCTGGTGGATTTGAACCCGTGTCAGCCACATCGAGGACTAAGGTCTCTGTACATGGGTCATGCGCGCTAACCACTGTTCCACCTGCACACCCGAAAAAAAGGGACAGACTTTAACTAACTCTCTATCCCACTAGCTATTTAACAAGCTAGGTGTTGATACATGCACCTGGCATCTTCATATCTCATATCGCATGATTTCCATAAAAAGGTGCAAGCAGTATATTAAACACGCATTTCTGTAATTTTCCTGGTGGGTGCTCTACCCTCTATTTCTCCCCATTAGTCTCTCCTTTAATGCATTCCCACAAATGACAAACACACCATTGAAATTAATCTGCTTGCCGTGAATGTGAATGAGAGCTGCTGGAAATGTGCGTTTTTGACTCTTATCCTACCTTTCAGTTCTTTGCAGGATCTCATTCCCCTTCTTCCACAGGCTAATTGCCAGGGGTGAGGCCTGAGGCTTGCATTCAAGAGTGACTTCGCTGCCTGAACGAGCTTTTAGCAAGGCCTTTAATGGACTTTTGGAGAAAGTCGGAGCAGAAGCTGCACATAAAACAGTAAAAAGAAGGTGTAACAAAGGAAAGATATGAAAATCTTCATATACAGTAGCAAATGTATTAATACCAGTTGATATTTTCACATCTTGTAATGTTGCATACAGACTGCTACAGACTTCAGTGTATTTATTTGGGGTTTAATGTTGCATATCGTGGTGCATAATTATTTGGGTTTGCTGTTAAGTCATACCTTTTTATATATCAAATGAAGAAATGAACAGATTGCAATGAAATGTTCAAAGCTGAGGATTCTTTTTTTTATAAGCAAGCTATGCTTAGAACCTTTCCAGAGCTTTCTCCCTGACCTGTCTGCTGTGTGCCTTTATTATACTGTTTTTCAGTCATTTTTTTCAACTCTCCTTTGACATCTTTACATAAAAGCGGAATTTATTAGTGTGGTAAACCTTTTAAAGGCAATTGGTTACTCAAAATTTTATTTAGAGCAAAGTAATATGATTCTGCTGTAGCTTTTTATATATTAGGCAAAGATGCTGAAAACGACAGCAAGAAAAGCCTGACAATAAATTCATTAACGACAAAGAAAACATCATATCCCCCCTTATCATATATCCATCCTGCAGCCAGGCCATGCACTCATCATCAAATTCAAGTTAGCTATCATTAGGACCATCGAGTGTCATCACATGTACCAAGAAAGAATTGAATTTCTCATGGAGCCAGTCATCAAAGCTTAGCAAATAAATCAATACTGGGTCCATATGAGAAAGCTTGCACAATGCCAAGAGGCATCATGTTTGTAGTATCCCAATCAATAGATGAAACGACTGAAGGTAAAATGAGACACTCTATTAGATTTATATTTTCACTGGCAGTGCCCATGGTGACATCAAATGAGGGTGCAGACTGATTTCTGAGCAACACAATAGCGGGCTGCTTTCTTATCTTAGCAGATGATCAAACACATTGAAAGATAAGCAGAATGAGAGCAGGAGAAGGAAAGCAATCTTACCTAACACCATTAGCTGGGCACTTGAATAAACACTGCCATGTTTGTTTTCAGCCACACACTGATACATCCCAGAATCTGACAGGTTTAACGCAGTTATGGAAAGGGCTCCGTTTTCGATTTGTACCCGGCCCTGCAGAGTACAGAGAAACAATTCTGCATATCCATTGCAAGGCCAGCTTATTAAGTCCAAATGCATAGCAGCAATTATTCATGCACCATGAAAGGAGGATAGGAGAGAAGGAGAGGGAGGAAAAAATAAAATTAAAATCCTAGGAAAAAATGTGTCACTGCTTGTATTGTCAGTTTAGAAGACATGAGGAGGCAGTTGCAAACTTGAATCTTAGACAGAAATTAGAAAATGCTAGCAAAAGCAAAGACAGTCTATTAAAATGTCATTTATTTTCTGTAGTCATTCAACTGGAAACACTGTGATGGCAGCTCACAAGATAACGGCTGAGTTTAACCAAATAAGCTGGTAAAGGATCCAGATTGCTGCTGGGGAAGAAGAACAAGACTTGCTTAATTACACTCTCACAATGTGACAGTTTATATACCAAAACCAAATTAGCTATAAGCCTACTAAAAATAAAAAATAAACATATATGTGAAGGCATAGTTAATTTACATCTCTTTGAAAGCAGCCCAAACCAGTTGTTTTCTCTTTCCAAGGCAGCATTTGTGCATCAGCTGTTATCCTTCCATTATCCAGCCACTGAGTAAGAGCCCGTCAGGCTATAGAGGGAAAAGTGAATGCAAGCTTTTCAAGGGATTTTGATGTCTAATGAGGATGTTAATGGGATTTCTTTTCCAGATATGAAAACTACCTTCTCCTGTATGACAAGTACTGTAGCTCGAGCCTTGGTTTTCAAACTGTTACTGGTAAGCCTACCACTGGTAGTAACTAAAGTCCCTCTACTAGGAGAGTAGTTGCAAAAAAAAAAAAACTGATTTACTGAAGTTAAAACACTAGTTTAAGCACAATGATGTTTGTTTTATTTAAAAACCTCTCTGACTAAGATGCAGTGAAATAAAGTTTGTGTACCGATGTAATATCCCCATCACCAGAGTTGGGAGTAACAGCGTTCCATTGTAACAGAAGAAGTTAGTTGCATTTTTCCAGGAAAGTGATTTTAGTCATTACATTTCATATACTGGTAACATGCAACATTTGTAATCTAATGCAGCATCCTACCACAACTCAGTCAATTAAAGCAACTTTTAATAAGTACACACTTTGCTGTGGGTCAGGATGGCATTCTGTTTACTGCAAGGATGAATAAAGGCATACATGACCTTGTTATTTGAAAATTTATTGTTCTTGATTTTGTTACCAGATCCATCATCCTGCTGATGATTTTTGGACTTGTACTGTTTCTACATCTCATGTATGTCAAACAATTATATACCTTTAAAGCAGAATTAATACAACAGTGACTGAAATATTGCAGTAATGACCAATTAACTAATTTATCTCACAGTACCACAAACAGTGGGAATTGATCTAATGAAAAATCACTAAACTGACATATTGTAAGATTTTAACTAAATGTGAAATCGATGGCTTACATCAATTGCATATCAGTTTAGCTAACTATTATCTGATCACTTGGAATACTCATAGAGCATGAGAATGCCTTACCAAGATGACAGTCTGATCCTTCTATACATTTTTTAAGATAATAGATCCTTAAATCACTAATAAAGTAGCACATATTATTATTACCCAGCATAACACTGCAAATTTCACACTCTAAATTTCAATACTGAAACGGCACATACAATTTCAACACACATACTTCAAGACACAACATCATTTGATATTCTGAATTCCCTATGATTTAGCACTTTTAAACACAGAAGCAACACATTCTCTTCACGTCTGCATGTGTGAGGGAAAGATTTCATTAGAAAAATAACATAAGAAAAGAAATCCTCTGCAGCTTTCCCAAGGTTTATCTACATTGGACTTTGTGGTTCGTAACACTTCTACAACTTTTCCACTAGCTTGTAATTACCACCTCTAATGACCCATTTTATTAAATATTTTAACTTTGAAGACTTGGAAACCTCTTTGCAATATAAAAAAAACCCTCATACCTCAGCCATTACTTGCTCGCCATTCTTCAGCCAGCTGTAGGATGGTTTCGGCTTTCCATTTGCCTTGCACTCCCAGAAGAGGTTCTCTTCGATGGACTGAGCTGTGTCTGTTATGGTCTGGAGCCACTGAGGTTTAGCTTGAAAAAAAAAAAAAAGAGGATCACCGGCTCAAACATGTGTTTTAATTATTTAGGTTTAGAGAATAGACAGAGTGCTATTAGGCATTGAGATGCCTTAACAGAAGAAGTTTTTATTTTTTGCATCCTGCAGTTTTAACACACAATTAAAAACAAAAAAGTTCAGATATTACGGTTTTGATGTGAACTCAAGCCATTAAATATCAAACTTTTTAAAAAAAAACTTGGTATTTCTTGTGAGTTTGAAATCTGTTTTATAAATTTAGATGTTATCTGGATGTGGATTTGACTGCTGAAATAAGGGTATTAATAGTAACCCTAGTTACAATCGTATGTGCCTAGATATTCACTGTTGTTTTAGTAATTAAATATACGATTTTGAACTATAAGGCATGTTCTGTTGTGTAGAGTCCAATAAGAAAATGTATGTGACCTCAAAAGGTCTGTGAAAGCCCCCGTCACTTTTAAGTCACTTGTACTTGTATAGGAACCCAATAAAAAAAAAGAGAATGTTGCAGTAACAGACAAATTACTTTTTTTTCACAATTGGCAAATTGTCATTTAGCAAGAACTGTCTTACATACCATGGTAAGAAATACGACCCCGCGCAGCATTTTTGCCCCGTCTGTTCTCTGCTATGCATTCGTAGGTTCCAGCATCTTCCTGCTGAAAATTGGGGATTTCAAGGATGGCGTTGGAATTCTTCATTTTGACTTTGCTGGGGAAAGGGACACCACTAGTTCTCCTCCAGCTTATTTCTGGGACAGGGCTAAGAAAGAAAGAAAAAGAGAGAGAGAACAAAAGTTGTTAAGCTTTTAGCTCCCAGTCACTGTGATCAAAGTGTGATCTAATGCAGAAGGGAATTAGATGAGAAGAAGGCTTTGTGAACATTTTTTTCAAAATTCGAGCAACCATTTTCACATATATAGGCTGCCGAATGCTTCTTAAGTATATACTGGGCAACCATTAAACCCTTTGATGCATTAGTTGCCTAAATAGCTGTAATTTATTTAGAAAATTAAGTCACAGTTTAAGTAACACATAATATAAAGCCCAACGGTGACTTACTTTCCCAGGGCAAAGCATTCTAATTTCACCAACGAGTCCTTTGCTGCTGGAACCGAATCTGAAAAATGAACTTCTATTTTGGGCTCATATTCACCCATTACACCTACAAAAGAGAGAGAACAACAGACAACACAGCTTTAATAGACTTAACAAGAGGCAGACATTGCACTGGATCAGAGTCCAAGCCTTGATAAAGTAGGACAGCTAACACAAAAAGTCTTTATGGGCATGCAGCAAAGTGACCATTGAAGGGCTCATAAAGGAGAGAAGAAATAAGAGGTTGATCATAAAAGATTTAGAGAACACATCATGGAAAGGATTAGCTTGGTGGAGATTACTTGCAGAGATTTATGAATGCAACTTCATTTACGACTTTATTTATATTCACATCACCAGGATGGGTTGCACACTCTTTTGCAAATCGAGCACCGTGACCTTTGTTATTACCGGCTTCAGTCCTGGTGCCTGAGAGCAAAAGTAGCTGTAATGTCCTGTTTGAGGTTTTACATTCAAAAGCAGAACAGACCGGAGTAAATCAGGGGTTTATGTCAAGATCAAAAACTTAAATGCATCCTAATTTTCAATAAAATGATATTAACCAGTGAAAACCGTGTGGTTACCATTACATTAGCGGTTTGGATGGGGTGATGCATGTGTGGAAAATCAAGAAAGGATACGAGCCGAGATGTATTAGTTTCTATGTTATCAAAGCCCACCGAGCAAACAATGACAGTGTAACATTACTAAACATTCTACAGGTGAAATACATCAGAGCAACAGATTTTTTTATTGCTCTTGTGTGTTTTTTTACTTGCCCAGCTATATTTCTACTGTAGAACATTGCAGAATAACATTTTAATCTTTTACTCCAGCTTCGGTAACAATTAACAGATAACAGTGTTCTAAATCATAATATATCTATACTATATATATAGTAACATGCTCAAGTAACATGTTTGTTAGCAGCTAAAGAGATCTGCTGCCTTGTATGTAGCCCAACTACACATCTAGCAAATATTGGCCTGTAATACTTGTTTCTTTTACAATAATAACTTGAAATCACGCTGATACATATTGAAGGAGCCTATTGTATTTTTGTTTCATACCATTTTGTTTAGTTTTGTTTGGTAATGTATCCAAATCAGAACAACAATGATTAAATATGATTAATATGACTGTATTTATTATTGTGGTATATCATATTTGCAACACCCGGATCAGATTATTTAATATTCAAAATTTTATTGTTCAAGGCTAGCTTAAACTAGTTCTTAGCTTTGGACTGTGTGATCCACTCATTTGCTTTTACACCAATGCAAGAGCTAAGAAAATTACCTACAAATGATGTGTTAGTATCTGCACAAAGTCCTCAAGTAAAACCTATTACAGAAATGCAGATTATTTATTTTTGGTTGGAAAACCAAACTGTGTTTCATCTAGGGCTGCAACACCGAATCGATAAAATCGATAAAAATCGACTTTTAAAAGCGTTGCCAACGAATTTCATCATCATTAGTTGTGTCGCGCGATTAATGCGTCATCCGCCGCCGCCGTCATCACTGCCACTTGACTGAAACGGGGGAAGAAAAAAAAATTACGGTAGAGCGAGCCAGTGCTGCAGGTGCGCAGTGTTGCCAACTCAGCGACTTTGTCGCTATATTTAGTGACTTTTCAGACCCCTCCAGCGACTATTCTTTTTAAAAAGCGACAAGTGACAAATCTGGCGACTTCTTACGGTGTCACTGGCGGCTTTTGGAGACTCTTACGTGAAAGCATGTATCGTTCCTACTCTTGTCCTGCAGCAGCAGCTGCTGCCGTGAGGCGCCTCCCCCATCCCAACCCCGTTCTCCCGCAGGAATCCCTCTCAGCGCAGCAGTCAGAGCCGCAGGATGTTTCAGCCTCCAGACTGCAAATGAAGCGTGCATGCGCCGGGATTGACGGCACAAATTGATAACAATAATTAAACTAGCCTTTATAAATAAATTAACTTGCAAATTATGAGGGCAAGGCTTTTGGAGTTTAAATCTTCTGGCAAAGATAAAGTAAAGAAGATCCTGCAATTTATGGGAGTAAAGCAGAAGAAAATCCAGCAAGATCAGTAATATGTCAATTAATTATATGCCATATTCCCATGTAAATATCTGTCTTTGGAGGATGTGTTTTTTAGCACCCCTAGTTCTCTCATTTTTATTCCAAATACAATTTATAATTTGAATCACAGGGCTATTTTTATCTATATGGTTAAGTATTTTCTCAAGTAGCAACTTTAACTGCTATACTTTCCTGTCTTAAAAGGCAGAACTCTTCTAGTCTAAAAAAAACTAATTTGATGAAATGGGGGGACCTATTGTTTGAGCCCCTTAGGGGCTTCTAAAAAAAAAAAAAGTCTTTTTTTGCGCTTTATGAAACAAAGTACCCTATATTTTGTGGATGTACAGCTACATTTCTCATGTAAGTTTGCGTAGTTTTAACACAAACATTTATTTTTCATATTGCACCAGTACAGTTAATGAGCAACCTGTACTGGTGTGCTTGTTTGTTCTGTCTAAAATGTTTATTTTGAAATAAAGAGGTTAGTATAAAAAATATTTTTTGTCCGATTCATCGATTAATCGACAAAATAATCGGCCGATTCATCAATTTTTAAAATAATCGTTAGTTGCAGCCTTAGTTTCATCACAGAAAGAGTTAAAAAACAACAACAAAAACTCATTAAAAGCTTCATTTAAATGACATTCAAAAGCAATGCTGATTCAAAATTAGAAAGTGAAGGAGAAAAATCAAGCAATACAACCACTTTTGAGCTAATTAATTTTCCTAATTCAACCAAAAACAAATCTTGTCTGGAATGTAGTTGTTTTCTTTTAATATAATAAGTATCAGAGAGAGCTACAGGAAAAACTGGATTTTATCTGTCCTCTGATCCAAAAAAAGTTCTTACGTTTTAGCATTAAAGAGATTAAAATGTATTTTATGTATTTTACATACAAATAAAATTTTACATATAGATTTTTATACTACAGAAAGGCTGTATGTATTCCATTCAATCATTGGTTCTATGCTGGTGAAGATTCTCAGTCATCCAGGTCATAGTCAATCCAAAAAACCTAAAAAACACAATTCCACTGGACAGTGGATTGGTTCTGTTTAATCAACCCTTTCGTCTTTTTACAATATTAGAAATTATTCGATTTTTCTTAAAATACCATGGTAAAAATGTCATTTAAATGCTATCAATATAATGTTTGATAATATCAAATTATCACATATAAGTCTGCTTCAGATTTATACTTATTGAAGACACTAAGATTCAAAAGTATAAACTATAACTTTTATATCAACCTACAAAACAATTATAGTACTGAATTCATACTTTAATTGCTAAAGAGAAATAAAATACAACAATAGGTGACACTTAAAAGAATAGAATAGACACAAACTGGTAAAAGTGTGTTTTTCTACCATCACTCCTGAGAACTAGTGGTGTTGGAGAGCTGAGAACCCTCTGCTTTGTGACGGTGTTGTTGACCACACAAGTGTAGTTGCCCACATCTGAGGGCTCCACTTTGGCTATATACAGGCTCCCGGTCTCCTGAGAGATGAATCTTCGGCTGTCTTGTTGGACAGAGTATGGGTATTCATTGAAGATCCATGCAAATGTCAGCTCTAAAGGCAAGAGAGAAACAGTTCAGTGCAGTGTTTGTCCACAGAGCATATTAACAGATGGAATGACTAAATCAAAAGAACTCCTCTTTGGCCTTCTCTTAGTATGTCAAACAATTTTCTATCTCTTATACAGATTTTCTTCGAAGGAAATATCAAGAATGCAGTAACTATCAGTGCAAAAAATAAAAAAACATGAGAGCAGAGGAAAGGGAGCGAAACAAACAGGATTACATCGCGTCAGTGGTCTTCCCCTGACACATGGCCTCCATTCTCCGGGTCCCTGAGCGACTTAGTTTAACGGCGTCAGGAATAAACGAAGGAATTGAGAGATCAATGGATTGACATTCACATATAAGAACATGCTGTCATTTCTCTTCACAAGCGACAGGCCCACAGTAAGAGCGGGAAGACCTGTCATGACAAATTACAGTGTCATTTCCCCAAGCTGCACAAGAGAGAGGAGGTGCTCCATGCAATCTTCCACTTCAGGGCTGAAGGGGGCAGGGTGTGGTTTCTGAGCCAAAAGGTGGATGCAATGACTGTCAATCATGTCCAACACCAATGAAGGAGGGTAAGCCACTTGGCTTTTGACTGGCTAAAGCACCCATGCTGAGTGCAGAGATGCAGATACAAAGCTGCTTCTGACTAGGCAAGCAGGGGTCACATAGCTCAGAGTCAGCATAACCCCAATTTGAACTGGGTAGCCATAATGAGCACTGATAGAACTCTGCACAGCAATTCTGCTTCAAGTGCCGCCTGAATCAAAACACAAATACTTTTATGCATAAAAGGTGCAAAACAAAAAAAAAAAAATCTATGTTGAACTACAAAAGCACTACAATAACAATTACTTATCTATTCATTTCATTTTTCACATCTGGGTGGTGTTATATTTCATATGCTAGCAAAAGAGAAAGCTTTTTCACCACTCAGACTCAATCAAGCGTAATAAAAACCCAAAGAAATGTCTCATGCTGTAGGTGTCTAATACAGTTCATTGGAGTGCAAGGTTATGAAGCACATCATTGCTTTCAAATTAAAGAGCGGAAAGGAAAAAAAAGGATTAAAAGAAAAGAAAGACGGAAAGAGAATGAGGCAGTGGGGAGGTTAGTGAAGTAGCAAGACGGCTCGGTCTCCTTTACTTACATTCACTTTTAAAGAATGTGGTAAAACACAAAAGCACTACAGTTACTGCATCCTGCTGTGCGTAAGCTTGTGTCAGAAAGGGAAGCTGTCAATGTGTATTTCACACAGAGTACTCTGACCCATTATCCAAAAGACCAGCTGTACAATGCACTGCGACAAACTGTTCTCTTGTGAGAAAAATTGGTTGTTCCAGTGTGCAAGCTATTGTATCAAGAGGTTGACAAGCTAGGCAGCAGCTATTGTGGCTGTCCTTGGTTTTTCTCTAGATATGCAGAGTGGTGGGGGGTTGTGCTGGCTGTAACTTAATCTTTTATTTGTAGCCTCTCGTTTATTGAATACAGTCTCAGACTTTCACATGGGCAGCATCTTTTCAGAAATGTTTGGGGTATAGATCTACAATCAAGAGCTCTGTGCTGTTTTGCATACAGGCTGTGCATTGTTCAGCAAATGATTTGTAGCCCTTGAGCTGTTTGACACAAAGTAGCATGTTGTTATGAAAAGTTTATACACAAAAGTGAACCTCTGCTCATGTCTTAATAGTATGATACGATTTTCTTTAAAGATGGTACAGCAGTTAAATAAAATATCTTTTAATTGACTCTGATTAGCTTTCTGCTGGAGAGCATCATGCCAGCAGCATAACACTGCACCAAAGAGTTGGTTTGTGTTCAGGGTGCTAGCTCTCCTCCAGACATACCGCTTTTTTATATAGGCCGAATAGTTTCTCTTTACCTATATCTGAATATAATATTGGGGTATCTAATCATTTACATAACAATTGCTGAAATAGATGCCAGGTTTGTAATTTAAAAATGGTAGTCCTGTTTACAGACTCATCCAATTAAGCTTAGAATCTCCTCTAAACCCAATCTCTATCTTTCTTTTAACTAATGCTTACATTGATTGGTCTACCCAGCTTAGTTGACAGCAAAGGCATAACACATACTCTTTACAATATTGGATCACACAGTGTCCTGTTTGGTTTTTATGAGGATGTTGATTCACTGATAATCTTCAAGAAAGTGCTCACAGCTTTGCAAGAAATACATTTACTGAGAATAAAACCTCTTATCCAGTGGTGTCAGATTAAAGGGGCTGAGTAGAAATACATGGGGATGTTTGGAAATCATACATCTTTTTTCTTCTATTTACACAATTATGCACAATGCTGGTCTATTAGAAAATAGTATGATACATGAAGAAATTAAAAGGCCCAGTGAATAGTGAAGAGGTAGCTAATTCCAACTTTGTATCACTAAATGTGGTTATTTAAAATGTATGCACATCTTCATTTAGAAAGTGAAAGGTTGTAGTTGTGGACAGCACTTTTTTTTCTTCCAGAATTTAATTCTTTTGTAACCAGAAGCTTTTCCACACAATAGACATCAAAACGCTGTGCTAATTAACTAACTTTAGAGGTAATGTTTGTCTGCCAGTGGTTTTGTCACATTTTCACAGCACCTATCTGTTTCCTAATTTGCTTTCCAGCCTTTATGAAACGGTAAGTTAACAACCTGTTTACTGCAGTTTTACTGAAGAAGATAATTAAATATTCAAACCTTGTAATTCAAGCAAGCACATATAAGGGGCCAAAATAGAGTTTATTCAGCTGCTGATTGATGGAACAGTGCAAGTTTAGGTAATGAGGAAGACGAGCAATGATCTGTAATTTTTCTAGTGACTGGGGCATTGCATTTAGTATCCAGTGAGTTTGAGTTCCAGCCCCACTCCTACAGACTGCAATTCTGGGTCCCTGAGCAAACACCCTTAACCCCACACTGCACCTCGGGGCTGCACAATGGCAGCCCACTGCTCCTCAAGGGGATGGGTTAAATGCAGAGAGTAAATTTCATTGCTCTGTACTTGTGACAGTGTATTGCCAATAATATTTATTTGTAAATTATGGAGGCACATAAGTATTTACAAGGGCAAGATGCATGGCCCTCTCAGACCTGTAACAACTTCTTTAAGAAGCACTTCCGTACTCCGCACGTTACCTATATCAACAGCATCTGTTTGATCTACGCTGATTTTCTATATATATATATATATATAAAAGAAACCTGTGCACAGTCTCAAACAGTCAGACTCTACACTCATCCATGATCCGGATCAAAGACTGGTTGAAGGATACCAAGAAGACAACTGTGGACCTGCACAAGGCTGAGAAGAATGAATAAAAAATCTTAAGCAGCAGGTTGGTCTGAATAGATTATCTCTGGGACCAACTGTAAAAGAAAAAAATTGAAGAACTGCAAGATCATTGACAACCTCCCTTGATCTGGGGGCTCTTTGTAAATCTCATCTAAAGATCAAATGATCATAAGAATGGTGAGCAAAAATTCCAGAACTACAAAGCGGGACCTTATGAATGACCTGCAGAGAATTGGGACTAATTTAAAATAAACATAATCATAAGTAAACCACTAGGTCGAGGTGGACTCAAATCCTGCAGTTCCAGGCATGCCCCCCTGGTTTAGGTGATACAGGTCCTGACCCATCTGAATTTCAAATGAAAATAGATGATCCAAAAGCAGAGTGGAAGAATATCATGTAGTCAGATGTAACCAAAATTCTCAAAAAGACAACTATTCTGAAGCATGGGGGTGAAAGCATCATGCTTTGGGGATTATTATGTTAATGTTCCTGTAAGATTGAGAGCTTCCGTGATTTGATAATTGCCTTTTATTAAATTCCGATTTATTTGCATGGCCCTAATTAGCCCTATAAGGCCTTATTTTCCGCTATAAAATACAAATACATTTTTTAGAAATCTACAGTGAGATTTCCTGATTTTTTTTCTCCACTGTCTTTCATGGTTGTAGCGTACCTAAGATAAGAAATTACAAACCGCTTACGTCTCTTTAAGTAGGAGAACTTGATCAATAAGTGGCTAATAAAATACTATACTACAACATCTTGGGAAATTTTGCAATTGGTTTTAAATCCTTTTATTATAATCTAGATCTTTGTAGTTATATATGTCAAAAACATTAAAAGGTTATTGTTATGAAGATGGACAATAAAGTAATGGGTCTGCAAGAGCATTTTCTCATACCCATTGTTGCTAGATTGGTCTGGCTTCTACTCAGGCAAGATTCTTTTAAACAAGTTACTCCAGCTATATGAAGTAAAACTTTACACGGCTATGACCCCCAAACAATTGTTAACTAAAGGCAATATGGGCTGTTTGGAAAATTTTCTGGTTGTGATAAAAATAACAGTCAAGGAGTAGAAGGTATTCGCTTAATATTAGTTTTTTTAGCAAACTTTTCAGGGTTAGCTACAAGAGGAGAAAGCCCAACAAATTAACTACCAAGTATCAGCTTTTATGTTGTTTAGCTATATAATCTCCAAAAAGGTTAGAAAGCAATGAACATTTAATATGCTTAGTTAAAAAAAAGAGAATTAAATTTACAGTAGTGGACATTCATATATTCTTCTCCAACAACATAGCAACAAAAATGCAATATCAAAATATGTTGGATTGCTCTAACAGTTGCAGTAATGCAATGCAATTTGCACAAATACTATATTATTGTAGAGTTTTTACAAAATTGTGGTATAGTTACAAATATATATATACCGTGTATATATATATATATATATATATATATATATATA